ACAGAGATCTGCCTGCCTCTGCTTCCCAAGTGCTGGGATTAAAGGCATGCGCCACCGTGCCCGGCTTATTCTTTTGGTGCTAGTGCACTCTTATCCCTAAGTGTCATCTTACTCCAGGTACCTTCTAGACACTTAGGGAAAACTAACTACAACTTCTGACCTGTTAAGGAGTTGTCACACAGCAAAGTTGGAGTACTCAGAGAAGTTATCTTGAACTACATTTGGTACCACTAGCATTTGCCTTCTGAGTGTTCTTTTTCTTTTTAAAAAAGGTATATATATATATATATATATATATATATATAGTGTGTGTGTGTGTGTGTGTGTGTGTGACATGTACAGGTGTGTCTGCAGGAGTGCATGCCTGCTCTCATGCACAGAGGCCAGAAGAGAGCATCATGTGTCCTCCACTAGCATTCTGTGCCTATTCTTTTGATGTAAAGTCCCTGAACCTGGGGCTTGTGTTTTCTTGACTAAGCTGTAATCCAGGAAGCCCCAGAAGTCCTGTCATCTCCAACCATTTCAGAGCTGCAGTTATAGGCATGCATGGGACACTCACTTGCTATGTACATGGGTCCTGGGGTCTGAATTTTGTCTTCATGACAGGCAGCAAGTGCTCTAACCTGCTGAGTCATCTACTCAGCCCTGTTGGCTACTCCTAGTAATTGTTTGGATCCTAGAGAAATGAGTGTCATCTTCCTCTGTAAGGTGGGACTAGTTTGATAAGATACTTAAAGCAATTACTAGATGTACATATATAATCTGTAAAGTGAATTAGGCTAGGATTTAACTTTTCTACCACTTAGTAAACTTGACACAATAGGCTTTAACACACAAAAAAAAGAATGTATGAATTCCAACGGGGAGGGGGATTGTTATGGGAAGGTGCCAGTGGGGAAGGGGATGTAAAGATGCTTAAGATGTTCTGTATGAAATACACAAAAATTCAATTAAAAATTTATAGATATATAATATTTAACATAGCATATTTTTTTCATAAGCCATAAGTCCAGACTGCTGGGAAACAAAGAGTAACATGGAATTTGTCTTTGAAAGAAAGCTTTTATAATCTTGCTTATATAAATGAATATGCCTATATATGGGAATGTGATTATAGGCAATAAGATCAAACTGAATTTTTAGTTGCTCATGGTGGATGATCTTTTTGATGTGTGTCTGTATGTGGTTTTTGAGTGTTTTGTTGAGTATCTTTGCATCTATGTTCATTAAGAATATGGGTCTATATTTTTCTTTTTTTGTTGTGCCTTTTTATGGTTTTGGTATTAGAGTGATGCTGGCTTCATAGAAGGAGTTTGGGAGGTCTCCCTCTGTTTCCTTTTTTTGAGTAATTTAAGAAGTAATGGTTGTAGATCTTCTTTGAATGGTAGAATTCTGCTGTGAATCCATCTGGGCTTGGGCTTTTTTTAGTTGGGAGGTTTTGTATTACTGTTTAAATGTCCTTATTTGTTATGGGTCTGTTAAAGCTGTTGATCTCTTCTTGGTTTAGCTCTGGTGGTGTCCATGATTTTAGATATCCATTAATATCTTTTAGGTTTTCAAATTTGTTAAATTTGAGTATAAGTTTCTAAAGTATTCCCTTATAACGATCTGGATCTTTTTGGTGTCTGTTGTGATGTTTCCCCTTTCATCTCTGAGTTTGTTGATTTGGATTTGCTCTTTTGATTGGTTAGCTGAGCTGGGAGTCTATCTTGTTTATGTTTTCAAAGAATTGGCTCTTAGATTCATTGTTTCTTTGTATTGTTTTCTTTGTTTCTATTTCATTAATTTCTGCTTTGATTTTTGTTATTTCTTCTCATTTCCTAGGCCTGGGTTTGTTCTGTTCTTGCCTTTGCTGAGTCTTGAATTGTACTGTTATGTCATGTATTTGTTATCTGGAAGAAAGTACAGTCCTCCCTAAGGACTTATTTGGAATGATTCTTTTCCAGTGCAGGCTGCCCTAGAAGTTCTCATCTCCTTCACCATTCCCAACCCCAAACACATACCTAACCCCATTCCTGGGGCTTTGCTTATGCTTCTGTACTCCCATAGCACTTTACTCATAGTTTTCTTTTATTGTGGTATTTATCACAATAATTGATATTTGGTTGTTTATATGCCTGTGCTTCTCACCATATTGTAAGTTTTTTCCACAGCAGTAAACAAATTTCATTCATCTCTGTACTCTTGGTCATTAGCATAGAACTTTGCTGTATAATAAGCAAGACTCAAAAACTGCAGTTTGCAGTTTGAGAGGAAGAAGTCAGACAATAAGCAAACATAAAAATCATATGCAAGATAAAATGTGATGGAGCATATAGAAAGAAATAATCCAGTGAGGTAGCTTCACAGGGAAGGTAGAATTTGAGATGGCCCTTGAAAAATTAGTAGACGTTGATAGGTGGAGATGGGTGTTGCAGGGGGCCAGGGAGATGAGAAGAACATTTAAAATATTTAAAAACAGAACTTGGGAATGTAAGAAAAACTTTTATTGTGGCTGTTAGTTACAGTCCACATCTGTGCTTATAAACACGGGTTAGCAGGAACTGTACTTACTAACATTTTAGCAGGCACTTTGAATTAACAGACATTTTGAAAATGAGAAAAAAACTGACAATTTAGATCATTTTCCTTCCATCCCCTGACCTCAAGTTCATCCAGAGTTTGGAGAGAATGATATGTTGTAAATTTTCTTTTTTTGATTTCAAAAATCCCATGTTTAGAAGAGTTCATGGGTTTTGAATATATAACCATGCTGAGGAAAAGGAAGTGTTTTGCTTTAGAGCCTAGTCCTTCTGAGGCTACCTGTTTCCTCTGGGAGTCATTCTCCAGCCTCCAGAGAAAATCAGGTTGCAAAATAATTGGTAATATCTAAAATTTTTTTCTTACTTTATGATCCCCTAAACACTTGCTAACCAGGGACTGGAAATCCAACTGGACCTAATTATTGCCTATGTAAACTCTGAACCCAAAGAATATTTGATAACATAGTTTTGTTTGCTTACTAATATTTACATAGAAGCTATTTTTAGCCTTTAGAGGGAGAATGAGCACTGAAAGTTGGTGGGAGGACTATAGTGCCTACAAATGAAACAATCACCAGCTTTTGAGTATAGTGAAGAGCACTTAGGATCCGCCCCCCCCGTGTGTGCGTGTGTGTGTGTGTGTGTTTAGAGAAAAGGCAAAGACAGCACAAGAATGACAAAAAGCTAATATTTCAGAACTAATGTCTTTTCACATTTGCTTGTTTTTGCCAGACTAAAATAGCATAAGTATAAATAACCCAGCCAACAATCATCCTTGATGTTGGAAGGACATGATAGACATTAACACACTACTCTTAGAACAGAGTTGCCTTCAGGGGTCTAATTGGCAGAAGTTCATATTGGAAAGTAGTAGAAAGGCTGGGGGATTTTCTTTTTCCCAAGGCTATCAGTAATCAGAAGGAAAATTCCCAGATTAAAACACTTTTGTGCTCAGATAACTTATTGACTATGTCTCACCCAGTTTGTTCAGTAGGCGCATGTACTTGCATATATAACCCACTTCATTGTCTTTGCTTAAATTATCCCTTTTTGGATGTCCTTTCCCTTTCCTTGCTACCTAATAACTACCTACCACTCAAAATATAGTCTATAGAACTCTGCCCTCCTTGTTCAAAGTCCCTACCAACTCAGGCCACAGGATCTCTTTCCTCCTTAAACTTCAGTAATCTGGCTTATACCTCGAAAGCATTTAATTGGTTCCTCCCTAGTTAATTGGAGATAGTAGGGAGCTGGAAAGATGGCTCAGCAGTTAAGAGCACTAGCTGTTCCTGCAGACGACTGGGGTTCGAATCCCAGCACCCCCATGGCAGATAACAGCCATCGGTAACTCCAGTTCCAGGGAATCCGTCACCCTCTTCTGACCTCCATGGGCATTGCATGACATGGGTGTGCTTGCATACATGCAGGCAATACACTCATACACATAAAAATAAAACAAAGTTGGCTGGGCGTGGTGGTGCACGCCTTTAATCCCAGCACGTAGGAGACAGAGGCAAGCAGATCAAGGCCAGCCTGGTCTACATAGTAAGTTCCAGGACAGCTGGGGCTACAGGGAGACCCTATTTCAAAAAGGGCAAAAAAAAAACAAATAAATAAACAAACAAACAAATAAATAAATAAAGTTAATTTATTGGAGATAGTAAAGCATAGTGACTTAAATGTGTGCATGCTGTATGACTTCGGTGATATATGTATCCCTTCAAACCCTCCCATTTGTTAAATGGAGATATAAAACCTCCCTACCTCAGACTTGTTCTGGAAACTGAATGACAACAGTGCATGCCAGCTGCTTTAGTTGACATATGGAAGGCTGCCGTAGTGATAGTAGTACTTAGAGTAATGATCACTACCGTCACCATCAGTCTATTCAACTAGATTTTACAGTCTTTGTGAGTAAGAGCCATGTCTATTGTCTTCTTTTACACTTATTTTCCCCTAATTACCAGAATATTCCATTAGCTGGTGGTATACTTAGCCCCTTCAGTAGTACTGCTTCAAAGACAGGACATTTCATTAGGAGTATAATTTTCATATTTTACTGGTCAACTACAGAAGCCCTAGGATGTTTGTTTGTTTGTTTGTTTGTTTGTTTGTTTGTATGCCTGAGCAGTTTAGGTGGAAGCTCTGAAGTGATTATATGCTAGTAGACAGAGAAGAATAAAAAAAATTCTTATTGCAAACTCCTTTGATGTGTACATTTGTGGGGGCAGAGAGAATGAAGAAAGGAAATAAGAAAACACTAAAATACCATCTGGTAAATTGCTTTCAAATTTCATGACTTCCTGCCACTTCAAGTTGTATTGTTTCAATCCTTCTAAGAAAACTGGCATTAAGGACTCATCTGCCACTTGTCCATTGACTATTTTTGTAAAGTATTTGCCAAAGTTTACAGTCACAACTAAGCTAGATACTGGAACCTCAGCACAACAAATTATTTGGCCTGTCATTTATTTTCAGCTGATAATAGTAGAACTCTGAATGTAGATTCCACGGCAATGACGCTACCTATGTCTGATCCAACTGCATGGGCCACAGCAATGAATAATCTTGGAATGGCTCCACTGGGAATTGCTGGACAACCAATTTTACCTGGTATGTTATTTTTAATCACTTCACAAGTACTTCTTTTTATTGACCATGTAGTAATAAATATAACAGTATGACAGAACTTATTTTGAAGTTGACATTTTCCAGATTCTGCCTAGAGTGTGCATTTTTGTAATATGAGCTTTTTATAAGTTGGGTAGCCAGTAGTTACTAATACACTCGTGACGGCATTTTGCTAAGCTTGGGGTATATCTGATGCATGATAGAGTCATCAAACATTTAAACAGCTTGCTGAAATACAAGGTAACAGGACTTTGGCAAGTAATTACAAAGCTTTTCTAATTTTATAGACTTCTTAGAGACAAACATGGACATGGAAAGAAGACTCACTTAAACATATCTCAAATTCTAGATTCCTGAAGGGAAGAAAAGAAAATGGCAGGTACATCAGCTCCAGGACTTTGTTTAACATAAAATAATATTGTTTACATATGCACATATATACATAAATATGGGCACACACAAGAGAATGACCATGGTGGACTAACTCAGTCTCCACTAAGTATGAAATCAAAGACCAGAAAAATAGCTCATTGGGGAAAGGTGTTTGCCTCAAAGCCTAACCTGAGTTCCATCCTTAGAACCCACGTGATAAAAGGAGAGAACCTACTCCCGGAGAAAACCCACGCCCACAAGTTATTCTCTAACCTCCACATGTGTGCACCATTCATGGCATGAGCATGCACACACACACACACACACACACACACACACAAATAAATGTTTTTAAATTTTTATTTTATGAAAAGATGAAATCAGAAGAAAAACATCACAATATTTAAAGGGTTTCTTGTAGACATAAAAACAGCTTTCTGGCTAGTAAGACCTAATGCCATCTCAGCGAGCCTGGGGTGATTTTTTTAAACAAACTAAACATTAATCTCCTTAAATTTATTTAATTGTGACCCTACATAAAAGCATAACAAGACCTAGTCAACCTAGAAACTTGTTGCTCAAAATGTATTCTTGTATATATCTTAAAATTATTTTGAATCCCGAAATGTGATGCCCTATCCCAGACCTACTGAAACATAAGCTGCATTTTCACAAAATTCCCAAGTAATTCATAGTCATGATAGCACTGAGGCAGGGTGGTACCACTTTGTTCTGTCATTTTTTCATATGGTTAGTTCCTCTTTCAGTATCACACAGCTCAGATTTTAAATCTTTATGGATTATCGTGGAATTGATGTAAATTAGTCAATGGTAATATTAACAATAACTTAAGGGATGCTACTACATTGAACACCAGGAACCAAGCACAATAGAGGCCAAATGTGAAAAAGGTATGTGAATGAGAAATGTGTAAGACCCTGGAAGCTTTATCCTTCCTGGCTAACTTTCCTAGTGGCAAAGGTTCTGTTTATGCTACCAGGGAAGAAAAATATTCAACAATCTTACCCAGCTGTGAACGCTATGAATTACAATAACAACTGGCCTAGAAAGATATGCCCACTGGCTCAGTAGTGACACACATGTTATGGGAATTGCCAACGACTTTCTGATTGGATTTAAAGCCCATTCTACAGATGGAATTCATGCCTTATAATCTTAACTAGGACAAAAACCCATGATTATCTAGGTCATAGGCTCTAGGAGAGAATATACTATTATTCTGCTAAATGGCCATAATATTAAAGTCCCCCCTAAGTTCTTATCTCTATGCCTATAGACTAGTGCAGCACTCATCCCTTATCACGTATACCAGACTCCAGCCTTTTAATGTGGACTCTCACAACTGACCCTCTAGGGATCTTACAAGCCTTCAGCCTTGGGCTAGAGCTACATCTTTGGTCCCCCTTGTTTTGCAGCTCCTACCTTCTTCCACTAAACAGCTACCAGGTTCTTCAGCTTTCCAGTACACACAAGGCCACAGTTGTACTATCCAGCCTCCAACTGTGTAAGCCAATCTAATAGATCCCCTTTAATAATTCCATATATATGCATATATTGATTCCTGTTATTCTAGAGAATTCTGACTAATACAATGTATGGCTCACAAGAAAAAAAAGATTAAATTATGGTTCATTCATGCTCTTAATAGTAATGAAGGGAATTGACTATAGGGATGAGAATTTTCTTTATGGAAATACTAGACAGTGGCCCCTGAAAGGAACAGTATGCATCTCAGAGTACTGTTGCCTGCTCCTTTAATGACTGGTAGCAATTGCCAGAGAAGGGGAAAATTGGCATTGTTTTAGTTACTTTCCTAGTTACTGTGACTAAAACTTGACAATAAACATTTTAATAGAGGAAGGATTTATTTTGACTTACATTTTAAGAAGTGATACAATCCACTATGACAGAGGAGGCATGATGGCAGCAGATGAGGTAGCTGGTCAAATTTTGTCTGTAGTCAGTCCTAAAAACTTCCACACCTTTACAAAGTAATGCCACCAACTGGACCTGTAGAAGACATTTCCCATTCACACCATAACAAACACCATACTCCAATGCTACCTACCTTTCTACTTGTCAAGGTCTGGGGGATAGGATAACTGCCATCTTGATGCTGTTATATTTTTATCTCTCAAATTATCTCCTCATACCCTAGAAAAGGGACTAATGAGATAGAGAAGTGATAATAAATGTGTAAAATGGTGTGAATATAATCAAAGTGTCATATATACATGTCTGAAAGTGTCATAGTGAAAACCCTTATTTTGTATAATTATTATACACTAATTAAAAATTACCCCTAATGGAGCTATTCCACAAAGCACCCTTATTGGTGGCTTGGTAATTCAGTTACTTTTCTGCTTCTCACAGGCAGTTTCTTACTGAGCTAGCAGACTGTTCTTTGTCCTGTCTCATCAGGCCTGTCTATAACAATAGAATCAACTTTGTCGTGGATGTAAAAAAAAGATGATACAAAAGTTTTCTTGACCTCCCCAAGAGAGTTCAAATCTCTACTGTTGTGGGTGCTGAGTTTCTTGGACACATATTTGTCATGAAGACAATGCCGGCATAATTAGTATATTATTTGAGTGATGAGCTGAGATAGGCCATCTCTGGGGTTTGGAGTAGAACTGCCTTTCATCTGTCATGGTGTTTTGTGCAGCTGCCATTCAATAAAAGTAATCTACAATGATGACAGGTTGAGAGATCACTTCTTACACCTATTTTCTGCAAGCTTGCTTTACCAAAGAGATCAAAAAAGACTGTTTGCTGTCTCATGAAGGAGGCAACCAAAAATCTCTTACTTTCTGTTTATAAAACAGGTTCAGGTCCAGTTATCCTGAATAAAACCAAGGATGAACCCACTACAAGCTACTCACTGAATACTACTTGGTGCTTCCAGTATTTTTGCCTTAATTAAAATGTCCTCAGCAGCTTCATAGCAATCTGTGAATTTGGAAAATAGAAAAAGAATCCCTCATTATGGTGTCTCCGCTGTAATGTCTCTGTATGAGAGAGAATGGAAAATGTGAGCCTGTGTCATATTCCCAGAGCAAGAACAACCCCCAATATGAGTATTGTCATTCTAAAGGATATAATTCTCATAGAACCTAGCAGGTTAACTCTAACAAGAACAGAAAGAATAAGGGTTGCATGTCTCCTGACCAGCCACTTTTCTGCCAGCTCCTGAAGGAGGCCTGGACTGAGGTTTGTATTAGTGTTAATATCTTCCACAGAGTACAGTGGACCATCAGTGGCAAATAAGGTAAGATCCTGAGAAAGATTACTGTTTATCATCATGGTGGACACTTTACCAAGAGCCAATAATATGTAAAACAGTATATCCAAATAGAATTAATATTTCTCCAAAACAAACTTAGAGTCCTTCCACTGATGGTCCTCTACAGACTTTTCATGAAGTATATCTACACCTAGAGATAATGCAGTTAGTCTCAAAACTGCCATGCCTACTCCCATATTTACACAGTGGCTGGCACATTGATCTGGAAAGACCAAGTTATCATTTTATTTGTACATAATAAGAGCCTACCTGTATGAAAATAGATAAAGTTCTGTATAATATAATGGAAAAAAGTAAAACATGTAGTTACTTATCGTGTGTGTGTGTGTGTGTGTGTGTGTGTGTGTGTGTGTGTTTGAGTCAGGGTTTCAGCATGCAGCCCTAACAGGCATGGAACTTGCCATTTAGACTATACTGTCCTCATAGACATCTGCTTCCTCTGCCTTCCATGCTTCCAAGTGCTGGGATTAAAGGCGTGCATCACCACACCCACCCAATCCTGTATATATTAAAGAGGCACCTAACTATAGTAAAATATGTGAGCTATATGATCCACTGTCAAGATTGAGTATTGAGGCACTCACAAAAACTGAAGCTTAGGCATACCTCCCAAGTATTGCTCTATAAAAATAGATATTTAGTCATTTGTCATTGTAAGTATATGTAGATAAATGGTATGAAACCATTTTCATGTGGAAATGTGTTCAGTTATTTAAAACTTTAGAAAATTACCCAAAGCTTAAGGGCTTTGAAATGGGGAGAAAAGATGTGTGTGTGTGTGTGTGTGTGTTTGTGTTGATTGTGGTTCTGAGTTGCATTATCCTGGTGATTTGTGGTATTAACACATAGCATCTTCTGTGTGTATTGGCTATCTGTATAGCTTTATTTCTTTCTTTTATTTTTTATTTATTTATTTATTTTTTTAGGCTTTTGCAATTTTATTAGAATCTTAAAAGAAAAATCCTCAGGGCAGGCGAGCTGGGAATCTTGGCAGCTGCCTTGAGGAGGTGAATGGTGGGAAGAAGGAAAGAAAGTCATGGAGCAATGCAGGTTTAGAGCCTGCATGGAGATCAGACACATGGCTGACTGGTAGCCACATGGCTATGAGAAGGAAGCGATAGTGAAAAAGTAAAGAAATACTACAAGATGCTAGGGGCAGCCAAAAGCCTTAAAGAAAGCATATTTAGTAAGAAAGGTATAAAGAAGAAAACTGAGAAATTACACTTTCCTGACGATTTCAGGAAAGTGGACAGGCTTACAGAGACCTACATGACTGTGGCTGGTC